TAATGAGGGCATCCAAAAGGCTCATATACAAATGAGAAGATGACTTCCTGTTGACAAGAATTAAAAAAAAAATTAAAAACAAAAGAAAAAAATTAAAATAAAAAAAAGAAGTCTGTGTTCCTTGCACTTATAATGGATCTTTTACTCATGTATTATTTCATAATACCCCGCACTGGTCATCTGAATGCAGGGTATGTGAATATTGGTCCACTGATCTTCCAAACAATGACCTTTTTTTTTTTTTGAGATAAAGTCCCACTCTGTTGCCCAGGCTGGAGTGCAGTGGCGCAATCTTGGCTCACTGCAACTTCTGCCTCCCGGGTTCAAGTGATTCTCCTGACTCAGTCTCCCGAATAGCTGGGACTACAGGCACGCACCACCACACCGGCTAATTTTTCTATTTTTTTTTTAGTAGAGACAGGGTTTCACCATATTGGCCAGGCTGGTCTCAAACTCCTGACCTCATGATCTGCCTGCCTCAGCCTCCCAAAGTGCTAGGATTACAGGCATGAGCCACCGTGCCTGGCCAACGTATTTTATTATACTTATTAAAAAAAGAATGGGCTGGGTGCAGTGGCTCATGCCTGTAATCCCAGCACTTTGGAAGGCCCAGGCAGGAGGACCGCTTGAGGTCAGCAGTTCAAGACCACCCTAGTCAACATAGTGAGACCCTGTCTCTCAAACAAAAAAAAAATTTTTTTTTTTTTTTGAGACAGAGTCTCATTCTCACCCAGGCTAGAGTGCAGTGAAACCATCTCGCCTCACTGCAACCTCTGCCTCCTGGGTTCAAGTGACTCTCCTGTCTTAGCCTCCCGAGTAGCTGGGATTATAGGTGCGTGCCACCACATCTGGCTTTTTTGTATTTTTAGTAGAGATGAGGTTTCACCATGTTGGCCAGGCTGGTCTTGAACTCCTGAATTCAGATGATACGCCTGCCTCAGTAAAAAAATTTTTTAAAAAAATTAGCCAGTGGTGCATGCCTGTAGTCCCAGCTGCTCAGGAGACTGAGGCAGAAGGATCACTTGAGCCCAGGAAGTCGGAGCTGCAGTAAGCCGAGGCTGTGCCAGTGCACTCCAGCCTGAGTGACAGAGTGAGATCCTCTAAAAAACAGAAAAAACCACACACTTTGATGAACCAATCTCGTAAGAAAATTTTGAGAAGCTGTCATGATGGCCAATACAAATTTTTCGAAATTCTAATGTTCTTGGAAGCCTGAATTTTATCCCTGGCAATAAATACCACCAGCTGTTTGCTTTAAAGCGCCACATCACTTCATCCGTTTTTGAGAAAATGTCTGCCAAATTCCCGAGTCTAAATGACCATAATTCTCTGTCATTCTTCCAAGTAAAAATGATGTTCCATTAAGAAAAGTGGCGAGGGAGGCACTTGTCCTTAGGACATTTGGACTTTGTTGTGCAGCAGGACGGCTTTATGCACACTTCCCGTCTCATCACACAGAATATTAAATCTATCAAAAAGAGATGCACTCAAGGGTTAAGGTTTAATAAAATTAACACTTCTTACTGCTTCATCAAGGATATAAGGGGAGGTTGGGCACGGGGGCTCACGCCTGTAATCCCACCACTTTGGGAGACTGAGGTGGGCAGATCACCTGAGGTCAGGAATTCAAGAACAGCCTGGCCAACATAGTGAAACCCCATCTCTGCTAAAATACAAAAATTAGCTGGGCGTGGTGGCAGGTGCCTGTAATCCCAGCAACTCGGGAGGCTGAGGTAGGAGAACTGCTTGAACCCAGGAGGCGGAGGTTGCAGTGAGCCGAGATCATGCCACTGCATTCCAGCCCGGGCGACAGAGTGAGATTCTGTCTTAAAAAACAAAAGAAAACAAAATATATAAAGTGAATCTGGTGGTGTTTGTTTTTGCTGCGAGTGACTGGGGGTGAAGCACATAATGATGATAGGTGGCCTGGTGCCCAGCCTGGATTCACGCACTGTCGCTGGCAGCTTCACCCACTATTGCTTTGGCACCATCGGTGCAAATGTCAACACAGCGAAAAAGGCAAATCATGTCTTGATATGATCTCACAGACTTCCTCTTGAAGGATCTTTGAGAATCCCCAGGAGTCTATGAACCACACTCTAAAAACTGTTGTCCTAGAGAATTCTATGCTTAGGTAATGATATTCATTGCAACACTATTCCTCAAAGCTCCCAGTGTCCATCAACAGAAGAATGATTCAATAAATCATAATGGCCATAAATACCATATAGCAATGACAACAAATTACATAGAGCAACAGGAAACCACTGGTGCTACTAGCGGTCATTAAGCCACCTGTTGTTGGGAAAATTGAGTTTGTTAAGCATACACTTTATATCCACAAAGAGCATGTTGGTAAAGCAGCCATTCTACCAGTAATTTTGTAAATGTATTCGATTTACAATTTTCCCCAGGGGATAAATAAATATAATTCTCAGAACTATAAACTGTTCCTAAAAACCAATTAAGGAAATCCTCATCCATTAATGCTAGATTGAGATGATCTTCTCTTTTCTATTCGGACACTGGTATTTGTTTTCTTCCTGACTCACAGCACCTTCTCGTCTCCATCAGGAACCCCCTTGTTTCATGTGCTGGTGGCTGTTCTGAGTTTTGTCCTTGGCCTCTTTCTGGCCTTACTTTACATACAGCAGTCGTCTCTTAACTGCAGAGGATACATTCCAAGGCCCCCAGTGGGTGCCTGAAACCACACAGTACTGAACTCTATACATACTATGTTTTTTTCCTATACACATACCTATGACAAAGTTTATCAATTAGGCACAGCAAGAGATTAACAACAATAACTAATATTAAAATAGAACAGTTCTAACAACATACTGTAATAAAGCGATGTGAACATGGTCCCCTCACTCAAAACATCTTATTGCACTGTAGTTGCCTATGTTTTGGACCTGGTTGACTGTGGGTAACTGAAACCTCAGAAAGCGAATAAGGGGTAAGGGGGGTGGATCAGGGGAGACTATAGTATTATGCCAGGAAGATCTTACCCTACTCAGGACTTCAACCACTAACCATTTACTGATGATCCACCAGTTTCTACCCTCAGCCTGTATACCTTTCTTAAGATCTCGATTCCTATACCCAACTGTAAAAAGGACTTCTCCCCTTCTATTTCCTACAGGCAGCTCTAATTCAATATGTCCATAGCCAAAGTTCTCATCTTCCTAAACCTGCTCTTCTTTCTTTACAATCCACTTTCCCATCTGGTTTCCATGGTTTGAGGTACCCTTCTTCTGTGTTCACAGGACACCTGAGCTGCCATTAGAGTGGATGGTTAGGTCTCTCTCCTCCCGACTGAGATGCTTGAGGGCAAAGACTAACTCTGGATGTCAGAGCTGGCTCTGTGTTTGCTACACAGCAGGCAAGCAATGAAATGTTTATTGAATGAATGAAATAAAGAATTCTATAAAACTTCTTTCTAGCCTTCCTTAGGAGGACAGTCAAAATGTCCTTGTAAATAAAATATGTTCATTATACGGATTTTGGAAAACACAAAGATTAAATTGATATATAATTTTACCATCGACAGATGATCACTACTAATGCTTTCCAGTATTTTTTTCTTTTTCTTTTTTTCACTTCTTTTGAGAACATTGGTAGCAATATTTCCAGTTCTTCCTATGCATACACAGGTATTCATGTTATAAAATTGAGATCAGTGTTTAAATTGTATAAATAATTTTGCATCGTGGTTGCTTTTTAACATTATGCAATGAAAATTATCCCTATCATGAAGTATTCTTCAAATTGACACTTTAAATGGCTCTATAATACTCCCTTTATGGGATGTACTAATAATTATCCTACTTATCCTACTGTTGGATACTTACATTTCCCCCCCAGTTTTCACTATTATGAAAATTGCTTAATATCTTTAGATGTTAAGTCTTTGTTTGAGTTCCTATTCCCTTAGTACAGATTTCTGAAAGATGGTCTTACCTCCCTTAGGTCTTTGTTTAAGCCCTCAATGAGGCCCTTCTAGGCCATTCTGCCTTAAAACAGCAACCCTTCTCCCCTAATACTCCACATTCCTCTTTCCTGCTTTATATTTCTTCTCAGCACTGATCACTATATAACGAATGATAACAGACTATATTATACTGTTGGTTTGTCTTTCCCAGTAGGACACAGGACAGGGAATTCTGTTGATCTTATTCAGTGCTGTACTCCTGCACCCAGAACAGTGTTTGGCACACAATACTCAGGTTTACTCATGAATTTAGGCGATTAATACAATATTACCAAATTCCTTTTCTGAAAGCCTACTTCCTCTAGCAAGATAGTACTTGTTTCTGCACACCCTCAACAGTACTATTTTAACTTAAAAAATCTTTGACAGTTGGATGGGTGAAAAAAGGTTAATGTTCTCAGATTACTTGTGACATTTAATTTTTAAAAATGGTTATTAGTCATTTGAATCTCTTCTCAGAATTTTGTGTTGATTTTCTTGATTAAAGCTCTTTAGAAATTAAAAATATCAATACTTTAATATTTGTTGTAAATATTTCCCCAGTTTTTTAACTTTACATTTTAAAGTCTTTACATGAAAACATAAAACTTAGAGTCAAGTTATTAAGATTTTCCAAGATTTTTTTCCCCAATGCTTTTTAACCCTTTTCCACCTTAAGATCAGATAAATATTCATCTGTACATTCTCTCAGTTTGTGGTTTCTTCTTATTCCTTCTTATTACTGTTTTACATTTAACTTTTAAATGCATTTTGTAAAAAGAGTATTGGTTTTCCAACAGGAGCCCTTCAAAGGTGTTAAAATTTTCAAATGTTTTAAATGAAAAATTTTAAAGCAAATGGTATGAAGTTAGATAAAAAAAATTCATTAAAAAATGTTGTGCATCTGAAGGAAGAGACTGAAAACTCACTGATCCTTCACCCACTTTGTTCAATTTTGCTGCTTATTTACGTAAAATCTTGGGATACAACGGGAAGAAAATCTTAAACCAAGGTGACCCTCACGTACCTGGATAACATCGGCAGGCTTGTTTATATGTTCTTTGAAGATCAAGAGGGTGGGGGTGTAGACATTGATGTTGTACCGCCTCGTCATCTCTTCTGTTCCTCTCAAACCCACATATACGTATCCAAATGACAAATAATCTTTGTATGCAAAGGCAGTCAACTGTTAAAGCGTAATAGAGAGGAAGAAAATAAAACTACAGCAAAGATGTAAACAACAAATCAAGTAGGGCTTTTCACATCACTGAGCAGAGAGACGGATGCCAGCTTAACGGCTCCACTAGGTCTTCTGTATCCCTGTATACTTTCAGGAATGCTATGGTGTTCCATGTGCAAAAACTGTACCAACAAGGTAAATAGAAATAACTCACTTCTTTTTCATAGTTAGGGCAAAATAATCACCTTGAAATCTGTACTGGTCAGGACACCTTCCTCTGCCATCTCATGTCACAGTGACACAAGAGGTAGTGGGGAGTGTAGGTAGGCTGGGAGTATAGTGGGGGAATCATTCAGAGGGCAGGTCTGAAGTCAAAGGGAATGGCGCTCACCGTGCTGTAGTGAGAACTTGGGTGGGTTATGACTGCTCTAAGCCTCAGTATCTTGGTCTATGGAAACAGGGATAGTGGCTAGGCGTGGTGGCTCACGCCTTTAATCCCAGCACTTTGGGAGGCCGAGGTAGGCGGATCACTTGAGGTCAGGAGTATAAGACCAGCCTGGCCAACACGGTGAAACCCCATCTCTACTAAAACATAAAAATTAGCCAGGCATGGTGGCATGTGCCTGTAGTCCCAGCTACTTGGGAGGCAGAGGTGAAAGAATTACTCGAACCCAGGAGGCAGAGGTTGCAGTGAGTCTAGATCACGCCACTGCACTCCAGCATGGTCGACAGAGTGAGACTTGGTCTCAAAAAAAAAAAAAAAAGAAAAAAGCCCAGTGCGGTGGCTCACGCCTGTAATCCCCAGCACTTTGGGAGGCTGAGGCAGGTGGGTCATGAGGTCAGGAGTTCGAGACCAGCCTGGCCAACATGGTGAAACCCTGTCTCTA